AGTAATTCGAGCAGAATCGATCGATCGACTGAATCGAACGCACTCTTGAAATCGAGGAACACAGCTATTGTCGGTCTGCGGTATGCGTGGCGCTGCTCTAGCACCTGCCGCAAAGTAAATATATGGTCTATACAGCCACGTCCTGGGCGAAAACCGGCCTGCTCTTCTCTAATCCGAGATCCCCGTTCTGCAGTGAGGCGACGAACGATAATCGAGGCCAGTAATTTTGTCACAACTGGCGTTAGGCTATTACCCCTGTGGTTCGCACAGTCTGTGCGACTGCCCTTCTTGTATATTGCCACTATAATCGATTCGCTCCAATTAACTGGCACACTCTTCGTTCCAGATAAGTTCGAATAGGGAGGTCAGTGCTTTGCAGATTACCTCACCTCCATCCCTAAATAGTGCAGGTGGGAGGGAATCCGGGCCACCAGCACGAAAACGATTAACGGCTGTGATCGCGTTTCGGACCTCGGCCTCCGACGGAGACTCTAAACTAACCGTCCATGGCTCGTCCTGCATCACCTGAGTAGGAACAGGTCCGGATGCAGGGGGCCAGCTGAACTGATGTTCAAAGTGCTCAGCTTATCGAGCCATACGACGCTCCTTATTGTGTATCAGCGCACCCGCGCTGTCCCTGATTGTCTCACTGACGCCTGGTTTTCTCGGACCAGTGTTGCGGATTAGCTGGAAGAGCTTGGGGTAATTGCCTACTGCTCCTGCCTCCTCCATTTCTTGAGCCCGACTGGTCCACCACGATTCCTCGTCAGCACGTAGGCTCCGCTTTAGTTCACGCCTAATAGCCCGTCTGGTCACATTGTGTTCAGAACCGGCCGGGAGGTGTCTTCTAGCTTCCAACAGGTTCACGGACCTCTCGGATATCCAGTGACTGGTGCGGTGACGACTGATAGTGCCACAAGCAGATGCTCCTGCGTCGTGCATAGTGGCCGAGATCCTATCCCACTGAAGTTCAGTATCATTAGGACAAGACCGCGGGAGTTCGCTATGCATTGCTTTTTGATGGGCTTGCCTGACAGAGGACTGGGACAATTTCTCCGTTGCCAATCAGGGGAGGCGCTTTGTGCGCCTTCCAGTAAAGTTCATGGAGAAACGACAGCGCACCAAGGCATGGTCAGAGTCGACACAAGTACTCCAGTACGAGCGGCAATCCAGAATGGAACCGCGCCACCTGTAACTTATGGCTATGTGGTCAATTGGGGTCCATCGCTGACCAGCTACAGGTGGACGCCAAGTGGCACTTCGGCGCCCACTGTGCCTAAAAGCAGTGCTAGTAAGAGACAACTGGTGCTCCGCACACAGTTGCAGCAGACGCTCGCCGTTGTCAGTCCGTTCGGCGTTAAGTCCATACTTACCACCCAGCTGAGCTTCTGAAGAGCTCAGACGCCCTACTTGTGCGTTCATATCCCCTGCAAGTACTATAATATCTGAACTAGTAGTACTGCGTAGTAAGGCGTTCAGTTCGTGATAGAAAGTGTCCTTGACTGCATTAGAACTGCAGTCGGTGGGAGCATAAGCAGAAATCACAAACAAACAGCGTTTTGTTTTACTTTGCGAATTCACCTTAGCTGATGTCGTCAAACGGGCTGCACATAAACGGCTGTTCATCGGAATCCAATCAACCAACGATGGCTCAGCCTTGCAGCTGAGAATGACACCTACACCAGCTTGACCCGTGAGTGCCGCATCGGCGTCTCCGGATGCGTGCAACCAATAACGAGAGGATAAGCCGAGTGCAGTCAATTCAATAACCCCGTTAGGGTCATTAATCCTAGTTTCGGACACACAACACACATCAACACCCAGTGTATCCAAGGTGCGTGCGAGTGCAGCCTGCTGACCTGTTTGGCTTAGAGTGCGGACGTTGAATGTCGCCATGGAAACGGGACAGCGTGGCCTTTTAAGGAAATTTTGCCGATAGGCGTCCGATGGGTGTGGTGGGATGGTGGCTGCAGATGGTTCTACTCCAGTAGCACTGCGGTTGCTGTCAATTAAGCTGGGAATTATAGAAGGAAGGTTAGTAATAGGGGCTGGGATGGGAGTAAGAGAAAAAGGTGGAAAAGAAAGAAGGGAGGCGCCAGCAGTAGCATGCTTTCGCTTATCCGCCCTGCTGTATGCAGCAGATAAGGCGACCCTTGATAATCTGCGCGACGGCCGATGCAGGATGAAGTTTATGTTTGAAGAAAATGTCATGGTTGTATGTGCGCAGGGATACTGCCAAGGCGCCCAGACCTAGACAGGAGAACGATTAGGGTCCTCATCCAAAGCCTTTGACTCAAAAGCCTGTCCGCAAGGCAGCGGGGTAGCAGTGATTTAGTTTTACAGAAATGGACGCCATCCTATTTCAAACCTCCAACCTGTAGGACCAGGAGACTGAGTTTGTCTGACCTCTCACCATTGACCAAGCTGGTAGGAGTAGCTCTCAAGATGCTCGGAGGCATCACCCAGTATAGCTCAATGGGTCAATGAGGTAGGCAAACCGTCGCACCACGTTAAGGTCCAGTCTCGTTGCGCGACAACATTTTGGAGTAAAAGTGAGTTAAAGAATCGTCAATGCTCAAAAAATGAATGATCCATTCCATGTTACAAGCAGACTCCTGCAGACGCTGTGGGTCGGCTCGCCAGAAATTACGCCGGGAATCACCTTGTTCATGATTGAAAATCGGCGTGCCTGTTGTAATGAAATAGCACATGGATCATTCCTACCAATAGGTTGCATAAAAACCAGCTTGGTGACATCTGACGGTGTTTGAAGAGCACTAGATCAAGCATGTGCGGCGTGTGGCATGCGAACAAACGAGTGTGTGAAATGTGTGCTGAAACAAGTTGAAACTGAGAACGGTCTGAACGAAACGAGCATCAGCAGAGTCTGAAGGAAGACCACAATAAAGCAGGTCACACTCAATCTCAGGTGCATTGAACTCTCCAACAACTAAGTAGTCCTTGCCCTTTTGCGTGCGATTTAATTGAATCCAGCAAAAAAGCTCCTGAACCAAAGAGTGATCTCTAGGTGACAGACCAGAAGAGATCTATACCTGTCATGAATACGACACCAGCGAGCTTCGAAACCTCCATCTATATCACAAGTAGCATCAAGTAAATGTGCCTTGAAGTCCGCCCTCCAATAGCGTTTCACGCCACCACCTGATCTCGCTTTGTTGCGATCAGCCCGAGAGAAGTGATATCCAGGGATACATACTTTCGTGTCACTGTTGTCCGGGGACAGTCACGTCTCAGAGAAAGCCATCAAGTCAGGGTGATTATCGATGGCATGAAGTTGAATCTCGTTCAGTTTGTTCCGCACACATTAGCGGACAACACATGCATACCGTTCTTCAACCTCACTACCGGGGTAGGACAAGGATGGGTATCCATTGAGTTCTCGGGGTTTTCCGAACCACTCGAAAATCCACAATGTGAAGGACCATTTCACCATTTGCCCGGAGGGTTTGAAGTTCATAAACTGCCCTCTTCATTTTTATCCGATGCTCAGTGGACAGATCTCTCATAACATAAAACGATTCTCCTTTAAAACTCGAAGTGCTTCAGAGGATGCGACTGCATTCATCTTCGTTTTGGCATACGATCTTGGGAGGGCAAGAGTCCTCCTGCTTCCTGTCAATACGAAAGACACGAACATTTATACCTGGTTCACCCTCATCAAACGGTAGTGAAACCATCCGTCTTTGAAACGCTTCGTCGTCTAGGATCCTTTCAGTTGGCGTAGCTTTTTAAGACTTCGGCGCATTTACAACTATAAAGCAGCGGTCACAAGAGGGGCGATGGAATCCCTAGATGCCTGCTGCTTATGAGAAGTCGAGTTGTCCCTAATCTAATTATCCAGTTGAGTAACTATCAAGTACCTGCTTAATCTCCAATTGCGAAGAGGGCTTGGATTTGATACTAGACTGCTTTTGGCTTCGCTTCTCGCATGTCTGAGTTACGGCTGCCTGACGGCGCCGCGACTTCTTGCACCACAGATGCATAGGTCCTGACCGGAGGCTTGGCATATTGAGTAGCCACATTTACTTTGTTTACCGATTTAATTGTTTACCGATGGGAGTTACGAACCCAGAACATATTGAAGAAGGACCCGCAGGTAAGACTGAGTTCGGAAAAGCAAGCAACGCAATGTGAGGAAGAGGGGCGTTGACTAGGCGCTGGTAAACCGGCAGACATACCTCGGTCGCTAATTTTTACTCTGCAGGACTCACAAAAGAAGGCGATAGCTTGAGACGTTGTCCGTTGTAGGTATCCATATAAGCCTAGACAGATACCACAGCAAGCAGCGTGAATCCAACTATCACATAAGGAGCGCTGCGTGCCTTCGATCGGTGAGTGACACCCTTACTACACGTAACACACTTAGAAACCATGGGGAAATGATAGGCGACGTAACCCGACGGAAATTAGCAAAGTATCGTTCAGATCCAAGAAGCAAGTCGAATAACAAGTATCGAGTTAACACAGTCGCTACGCAGATGTGGGTGTACCGGTATCGCGCTGTTATTCATGTAGCTGTGTTCCCCGCCACTGTGAACACCTTTTCTTGTTAACACACACTTTCATCAATCCATCTGAGAGGTGCTGAAGCTGACAAGGGTTCTTCCATCTGCTTTCTATAATTCAATGTTAATTCATTGTATTCTTACCCACCACGCGACCGCGCCCCTATGTAGCTGGTCCGCGGGCGTCACGGTAACACGTTAACAAGTAAGAGGTCGATGGGTTTTGCTTCCTGTTATCATTACCCTCATATTCCTCTCCGGCACTCTTTCCGTTTCCGTGCTTCCTTAGCTGCTTCCTTTACATCGGCCTCTTACTAGGCGGCTCGAGCGTACAGCCGTCTACGAGGAATTTATTTTGCATTGCAGCTTGTCGCACTACTTGGACACAGAAGAGCTCAGAACGCCGGACCGAAGGAATATTACACCTATTCCCGTAAATTTGACGGGACCGACAGTTGTCGTGTTTCGTGGTTCGGGGTTTTTTCACGGCACCTTTTATGGAACTAGTGTTAAATGACACTGAGTAGAAACTTTGACTTTGTCATTTTTCTTGTGATTCGGAATCTATCATCTGCGGACTTCTCGCTGACTTTTTGCGGTTAACTGTCTGTTGCTTTCGTGAACCTGAATCCTTAGCTCCTCGGATCTAATCTCTATTTCATCAGTTCAGTTCTATTTGTGTTGATCCTCACCCGCTTACATTTGATCAATCTCTTCTTGCCTGCCCAGTATCACGAGGCTTATTCTCCATCTGCGGGATCCGTAACCCCCGAATGACTTGGAATCTTGGTCATGCTCGCTTTTTCTGCCCACTTGTTGCTTTTGCTGTAAAACTAGTCCCCACCCATTAGCATCGCTGCTGTATCTCGAGGGAACTGTGTTTCATCTCTGGCACCCTCTTTACCCTGTGGATTCCTACGCTTGGTGAGTCCAAATCCGTACCTACGAATCACGTCTGGTAAGGTCCGATCGAACCTCTCGTTCCTTGCTTAGTAGGCTTCTGCAGACCGGTCTACGTCTTTCTCTCCCTTAATCTCTTACCTATTTCTCTCCTTGTAATGGCTAATGTAATGTTGTCATCGAGTCTACCACCAGCTGACTCAGAGACAAAATGCGGTAAGGTTAAGTGCTCAGAACTGTAACGGATTCGGCTGGTGGAATGCAATGTGACATCTGCAGTCGTTGGTTTCACGAAAGATGCACCGGTTTGAGCTCACCACAATATAGTGTTATGGCGAGCGGTGAGATTTTTCTCCCAAGTTGTCCTACTAGTTGCAAGCACAATACTCAGCGTGGTTCACCTTCGGATATAAGATTTTCAGCGTTAGTGTCCAATTTAGAAAGTATGAAAAACCTTACTTTGTTTCCCGACCTAGACCGGAAAGTGAATACAATCGTAGCTAGCCTTGAAGACGCTGGTGTATCTGTCATGCGGAGTATAGAGTTTGTGCAACTTTTTGGATATGAGCAGCTTGACGACCTTACCTCTTCCTGTGTGCACGTCGTCTGTTAATGACGACCAGTCGGACGGTGTTTTTTTGTCTCCGTTCATAATAGAGACGATTTGCAGGCTCCTGTGCCCGTGAAAAGTAGACGAAGAAAGAATGAGAAGGCAGTACCCTCGCTTAAAGTGCGAGCGAAGGGGCTGCAGCATGTACGCTAAGTCTCTTGAGCACAACACCACCGGAACTGAGTCTTGTAGTCGTTCCACAAGCTCCGTCTTGTACAGCCACCAATTCTACACATACTCATATGCCTCCATCCCGCGGTTCTGTGACACGCGCTGTAAACACCTCTCGTCGTGGCGCCTTGTATACGGGTAGTGGCGTTATCTTAAAAAGGTGTCATTGAATCTTCTACCGCATTTCCCAAGGAAAGAATGTTACATTATCTCGAATGGTTTAAAGTTTGCGCCACTAGACTCCTCCCGTCTGGATTCCCTAGAGTAACCGTGCGCAAACTAACCAGACTTCGAAACGTGCCGGTCAGTAGCCTCGACCTAGGCCTTGCCTTCTACGTGCGATTCTTTCCATACCGGACGAGTACTTATGCGATTTTTTTTAAAATTATTAAGTTCTGGAGTCAGCATACAGCCGGACCTTTCTCTAGCGAACAGGGTGAAACTAAAGGCAGCTATCCAGGATTTCAAGTCACGTCGCGCTGCTGGTAAAAGTGGTTTGAGGTTGGTGGATTTTCGGGTGGTGCGCCGGCGGTCCACTTCCGCCATGCCAGAGCCAATCCTGCTGGCGCACGATTCTGTACGCACCATAACAATACGCTACATGTATTGCTCATTAACGTGCGTAGACTGCGTAGCAACGTGTGCGAAGTTGGCGCTCTTGTGGACCTCTCTCATCCAGATGTCATCGCTTTTTCTGAAACTTGGCTGTTTTCGGAGGTCATTGACAGTGAGATACTCCTACCTGGCTACATGCGACTGATATCAGATGGTCTGCGACCGTCGCGGAGGTGGAATTGCGCTCTACTTAAACTCCTGCTTAGCAGTTTCTAAAACACATTAGTTCCACTCAACTGATAGGACTGTTGAAGCTCTTTCGGTTGAAATGTGTATGTTGTCCTCGCAGTTTAAAGTTGTGTTAGTGTATAGAAACCCTGACAGCGCTTCCAGCGGTTTTATTGACTTCATTATCCATCACTCCACCAACCGGTGCTTAGTGATGGGTGACTAACTTTCCGGGGATAAACTAAAACAACCTCTCCTGCGTGACTGTGACCGTAGGTTTAGCCACCGAACTAGTGGAGCTGACGTTACCAGCCCCCTACATCAATTTGTAAATCAGCCTACACGGTTCATGGAGGGGCGATCTCCGTCCATTCTTGATCTTATTTTCGCCAAGTCAATGCACTTCGTAAGTAACATCGTTTACGAACAGGTTTAGGTTTGTTCTCCGAGCCGAACTATTTCATTACAACGAAATAGTTCGGCTCGGAGAACAAACCTAAACCTGAACAGACAACCCGAGCTACTGGTATTCCGCTTTATTGCTAATCGTTTACGATCAGCCACAGACCTAATGACCACGCCTGCGTCTCATCCCACTGCGCTCAAGAAAAACCCGCGGCTAGCGGTCCGAACGTCTGGCGTGCTGATTTTGATGCAATGAGATCCAGTGCTACCCCGTCACCCTGTACCACTTTCACAGCAGAAGATTTCTAGGCGGCTTGGGATAAGTTCAAAACATTCCTTTCTCAGGTGTCCCCCACATTCCGTTTTCAGTTAAGAAGAAAGAAACGCCACACCACCCTGGTTTGGTTTAACTGCGCGTCAGCTCTTGAACAAACGGTCCAAGTGTTGGCGGAATTACATTTCGACCCAATCAAGCGGTGCCTTACGGTGTCTTGACCACATATTCACTCTGCTGCAGATGCTAGAGCAGCGCCACATACCGCTGACCGACAGTAGTTGTTTTTCAACTTCAAGAATGCGTTCGATTCAGTAGGTCCAATGCATTCCGTTCGAATACTTACGCGGAAATGTGCCCACGACATATGTGAACAGCTTACGTGCTCTATACTCGAACACTACAAACCGTGTCAGGGTCCACGGTGACCTGTCGGATACCTTTCTAACAACAAGTGGCGTACGTCAGGGTTGTCTAATTTCCCCATTTTTGTTCAGTTTCGTCCTGGACTGCATCATAGAGTGTGGAGAGTGGATCGCATTCTCACATTGCAGGCATTGAGGTGCTTCCTGGTGAGAAGCTAGTCGATCTTGATTATGTGGACGATATCGTCTTACTTTTTGACGATGTTGGGGCGGCGCAATCAACCCTGAATAATTTGACTAGAGTGGTCCCATTATTTGGTATGCGCTTCGCACCTTCAGTGTTGCTGTAGGACCGCGAGCCACTTGCTGACCCCATGACTCTTTTTAACGAGGAACTCGTCTTGTTTGATAGCTTCACTTACCTTGGCAGCTGCGTCCGCAACGATGGGTACATTGAAACTGAAGTCAGTTCCCACGTTGCACAAGTCAGAAGTGTCTTATTGAGTCTGCGCCATTTTTGGCAACAGAAAGGAGTTTCCCTCTGTCTGAAAGGCCGCGTATACAAGGCCACCGTGAGGGCTGTCCTGCTGTATGGGAGTGGCACTTGGCACCTTCGGTCTGAAGATCTAAGGCGACGGCAACTCTTAGATTATTGTTGTCTATGGAGCACTGCTGATGTCGTGTGGCACCAGCGTGTCCACAACGATGATATGCGTAGGCAGGTACTAGGCAGTGTTAACCAAGCTTCTTTTTAGTACAACAGATAGCACTGAATAAGTCGCGTTCGATTGGGCACGTACTACGTGTACCTGGTCCCAACTTACCTAGGAGGGCTGTGGTTAGTCTGCCAGATGTAGAGTGGTGCAAGGCTCGAGGTGGACAGAAGTTGACATGGCAGTGTGAAATAAAGTCGCTGGCGACCAAACTGGGTGCCAATTGTTCATTTGTTCTCCGAGCGAGAAAACCGCCAAGCTCGGAGAACAAATGAACAATTGATTCATCAACCCGAGCTACCAGTATTTCGAAACATTTTAAACTGGGTGCCGTTGATCCGTCTCGCCTTCGTGGTTGGAGTCCACGTGACCCGCCCTTTGCTTGGCTCGATATTTTACATTACATGACTCGCAGTTGAGGCCATTGGCGCGTCTGCTGCCGTCTCCTACTTGGACTGCCTAGTTAAAGTGTGTTTGACGCTAAGTTATCTGTACAGTAATGGCTGCTTATGATACGGGGCAGTGAAAGCCGCAATGAAGTTTTTTCGCGGATGCCGCCTTATCTTTGCACGATAGCCAGCTGTTTGTGACGGTATGTTGTCTACACAAGGTGTATGCGCCTTGACCCTGAATGTTTGCTTAGGGCATTAAGGTCTTCCGGTAAGTCTCCTTTCTCTCCCTCTTATTATTCTTTACTCTATAGGTCCCCATGGTTGTATGGCAGCGAAGCATCAGTACAAGTGGCTGATGTACTGCTATTGTTGATTGCCTTAAGGTGTTATCGAACAGCGCGGAAGGCATATAAGCAGCATCCTAAGGGACGCTCGTAGTCATTTTGAAATGGAACCAGCAAACACGGTTTCAACTAACCCGAAACGGTTTTTCGCTTGTCAGAAGACGAGGGCTTGCTGATTCATCGATCCCGATGTAGCACGGACCCAGTGGGGTTACCGCGCATACTGATTTCGACAAGGCCTGTCTTCTTGGAGAATAGTATGCGGGGACGTTTAGCCTAGCGTCACCTTTGCCAACTATCGATTTGGCGGGGAAAGTCCCGGCTAACTCTTTATTGACTGGTATCTCCGTATCAGAGGCCAAATTGCTTTCACTGCTGCTGGAACTAAATCCTACCAAATCCGCTGGTATCGATGCCATTCATCCGAAGTATCTATATGAACTGGCAAATAAAGTTTGTGAGACTGCAACCCGCTTGTTCAAAAGTCTTGGTAGCTGCACGTTACCTTCTACTTGGAAGGAAGCTGTTGTCTGCCCCCCCCCTAATATGGGTGACACTCCTGTAATATAGATGCAAATGTTGGTAGCTCAGGTTGTTCAGTTGATTGTCTGACAATCAACTTTCCTGTAAAGTACAAGCCCATTAATTTAACCAGCGTGCTAGTTAAATCGCTAGGAAAGCTGGTGAGGGATGCCCTCGAAAACCATTTCAGAGCCTTTGACATTCTCCGCCCATTTCAACATGGTTTTCGCGAAGGAAATTCCTGTCTGACCAATGTACTGGTTGCTCGAGTGAGCTGGTGTAGTCTGTCGACCAGGTTGAAATGGTGCATGTACTGTTCATTGACTTCTCCAACACGTTTGACTCCAAACCACATTTTCGTCTATCCCTTAAGATGCGTTCCTGCGGCATCTCCGGACACATGCCTCAATGACTATCAGGGTTTCTTAAAGGAAGAAGAATGTATTCCATAAGCACTAGTCTTCTCGCAATTGACGACCTGCACACATCATATCTATAGTGCTGCGACCCGAACGGAACCCACATTTCTCTTCCGCCACGTTCGGTTCCACTATCTGACTGACGAGGCGGTTGCCCATACAACTCAGCAAGTTGATAACACGATAATCTTTGATACTTTGCTTGCTCCCTTCGCTCTTGTACAGTGGTAGTACAAGGGCATCTTACAATTCAGATGGCACGCCTTCTTCAAACGACACTTGTTGCACCAACTGGTGCACCGCTTGCGTCAAAGCGGGTTCGCCGTTTTCAACACTTCTTCCGGTATCCCTTAGATTCGGGCGCAATTTCCGTTTCCCAACGGAGCTAGAGCTCTCTGCGTCACATCAAATGTCGGTGTGTCGGCAAGACACAACTCCATCTCTTGTTGTTGCAACCTGTGCAGCACAGTCCGGTCAATCTATTAACGGTTGTTCAAGAGACAGTCAAAGAGATTTCGCCAGATCTGCATTGTCTGCTGTCTGTGAGCAGGCAGCGCCTGTATTGGCATTGAGCAGCTTCCTCACTGGCTTCAACCTCGATCCATTCATCGCCTTCAAGGAGTCAAACAATTATTTGTGTTGGCGGCGTTTCGCATAGCTTTCCATCTGCTTTGCCTTCTCCGTCCACCCTGCGTTTTTAATGCGACGGAACTCGAGTGAGTCGGTGTCGAATTCTGCAAAACTCACTCTTCTTCCCCAAATCACTGGCGTCTTCCACGAGGATCTTCATACCGCTTTTGTACGGTTTACTTACTGCAGTAGAACGACATTCGAGCAAACCGAAAATAACATTACCAGAACATGAGGAAGGTGAGTTTATGACAAACTCATGTTGATTTCAGGTGTTGCGAATCCAAGGCAAATTTGATCGATGCGAATTCCGTGAACTACTCAAAAGAGCGGTTTCTTAGGTGTTGGAGAAGGCACAATTGTATGCGGAATAGAAACACCATGAGTATGTTCCCATTCAATTTACTAATCCAGGCCAATAAGGCGGCGTATGTGGTACGTTTGCTTGCGTGATGAGTAATTTTGCATTTCAGAAGTAGATGTTGCTTGAGCTCCCCTGTGTGGATGCGCCTGATGTGACTGTTGACAAGGTGCCTACCTGTCTATTACCCACTACCTCGTCCATACTGGCTCCAGGAGACAGTTGGTCGTCGCTGGAGGGGACGGAGTGCATTGTCCTCGTGACGGTGCTAGGCTCAAAGAGTGGTTCCATGCATTCAGTGTGGAGCGGACTACGGTCCAGCCACCGCCTCGTGTACGTCTGGTGTGTATGATTTCCCAATTAGGCCGGAATGCTTCCGTTCTGCTTGTTGAAGGAGTGTGGGCCGGCTCCGTTGATGAAACGTGGCTCCCATCCGCATGCCTCCCGGTCTTATTCCTTCGGGTTTACACCGGATATGGGGTGTGTGGATGGAACTGTGGGTGGTGCAGCGCAAGCCACCCATGGTCCCTCTGTAGGGGCAGGCGTCCTGTGACTGTCCCCATGGACGTCACAGTGACAGGCAAATCCGGATACGGACGCCACCAAATCATATACATATATATATATATATATGGCGATAGAAAACTCTGATTGTCTCCATTTTTGACTTCATACCCTTAGTCATTGTAATGGATGCATCTGATATCACGATTGCTGCCACACTAATACAGAAAGGACGACTGGTAGCTTTCTTCTCATTAACGCTGTTCGCCAGTGAAAGACACCATTCTGCTGTCGAGAAGAAGGCACATACTATCGTTGAGTTGTTCCGCAAATGGCGACCACACCCAATGGGCAACCGCTTCACTATTATTACTAGTTTGCGATCTGTCTTTTTCACGTTTAACTTAGATCACAGCAAGGAAAGATCAGAGATGATAAAACAGCGTTGATGCTTTAAATTCTCATGTTATACTTATGATTTGGATTACTGAAGTAGCAGCGATAGCGTGGCTGCTGGCGCACATGTTGATCGTCAACATCACACACGATGACAATCCAGAAATTACATTATGCCCTGTGCCATCCCGGAGTCATTAGTATATCTCACCTGGTCTGTTCACGGAATCTGCCTTTCTCAGTTGAAGAGGTGCAAGCAATGACTGTCCATTGCAGCGTTTGTGCTGAGATGAAACCTCCATTTCACAAATCATCCGAAACGCTCATCAACGCAACGCACCCCTTCGAAATGTTTAACATGAATTTCAAGGGATCTTTGCTGTCAGCGACGAACAGTAAATACCAGTTCACTGTCTTTAACGAATACTCTCGCTTCCTGTTTGTATTTGCATGTGGCAACACGACTGCACCAACTGTGGTTGGCTTTCTAAGCCAACTATTTGCGATCTTTGGTATGCAGCTCTCTATTCATTATGATCGCGATTCATCCTTCATGTCTCACGATGTGCATTATTTTCTAAATCAAGAAGCTATGGCGGTCAGCCCGACAACGCCGTGCAACCCTCAGAGTAATGAGCAGATGGAGCGCGTCGATGGGGTCATCTTGGAATCTCTTATCCTTCCACTTAGATCCAAAGGCCACGAAATTACTCAGTTGAAAAGTGCACTTCCACACGTCTTGTATTCCATTTATTTTCTTTGCATCACCGCGGATGCCAATCTGCATGAAAGATTCTTTTCCTAATATTGTGGATCAACATTAGGAATCTCGCTACCGAGTTGGCTGAGTGCGTCATAATGTGAGTGCCTCGATGTATGAATTTTTAGTAAATGAGGTTGTATCAGTATTCCCGCATTCGGTTCGCAGATGGAAAAGAAGAGACAGTGTCACTGCGCGACCTGTTATCACCAGGACTGGGTTTGTCAAGTGATCCAACTATTCTCCCAAACGTCCCTATCACACGCACCCAACAACGGGCACACAAATGCTCCAAACTGATCCTCTATGTCCACCCAATCATTTACACCTCTTTAAACAATAGCAAAGGACACAAGCTTATAATCTGTGTAACGGCGAGACCGGAAACCTTCCATTTATCCCATAGTTCGCTATTGGCATGGTAAGGACGATATGTAAATTTTTCATTTAATACAAATTTACCATAATCTTTCTACATATCGTTTCAGCATTCATACTTCACTTGATTGCCAAATAAAGCGTAATTTCTCCGGCTCATACTCTTCTCACTTGTCGTATTCTTTTTCATTCAATTACGCTAATCTGTTGTCTATCCGTGTTGAGCACATTCGTAACCTTCCGGTCCGAACGGCGATGAACCCATTTGGTTAGATACACTTGTTGACTTGGCGAAGAACCGATTTGTGGTGTTTATGTTTTGCGTTATTTCCTCCCTTCCGGCTTAACCTGTTTCTCTTAACACAACCTTACTGCTGCTGTCGAAAAGCGGTGTAATATTGTTCTGATTACTGCTCTCTTTTAGTTTACCTACTTGTATTGAGGTATGATGGCCGGGTTATTTCTTTCTTCCACCTAACGTATGTTTGACGGCTTTTGCTCCTTGACATGTTTTTCTCTTTTCTTTTTGCACTCAGGCTTTTAAATGCCTTTTATCAAGAATTCCAATGTACTGGATGCAGTACCGAATGAACTCCCAGGTGAAAACATTATGTCAACCATAGAGAGCGTATGTTTATCACTTAGCGAGTACTTTCTTTCTAGGTCCTTATAGAACCATATGAGTATCTCGCCAAAAACGCGGGCAAAGAGATAAGGGATGAACTAATTTTTGCCTTTAATCACTGGCTCCAAGTACCTGAAAAGTATATAAATGTTATTTCGGACATCGTGCGTATGCTGCATAATGCCAGTTTGATGTGAGTTGCCTGTTTTGGTATCTTTCTCCTAGTTTTACTCATCCCCTGATTTCTACCTTGTGGGGGTCCTAATGCCAAAATCAATCCAGCTTTTCATTTTCTACCTAACGCTATTAGTGCTATCGTAAGTGGGTTGAAATTAGGGCCACAAAACACCCCTTGAACCTATTTAACAGCTTTCGACAAGTCGCTTCCAAATTTGTTCCTTAGCCATTGTGGCTCATATATTGATGGGAAGCAGCGCATTCACCACGCATTTGATCCTCACAAGGACCAGCAAGAATCCCCAGTACGATACATGTGAATACTTAACATCAAGGGACAAGAACTTTTGGGAACTCGGTTGGCGACCGATAGTTCGTGAACATTTATGTCTTGAATCAAACATTTTCGAGCAAATTGGATACTCCATTTGCCCTCCTCCATAAACGGTTGAGACAGGTCGTCGGGATCAATCGCCACGTTACCCTTTCACAGCACCTCATTGTGGTGGCTCCGTTTAGTGTTACAGGCTCTGAACTCAACCTCGCGTGTGGGTTTCGGTGATCCAATTGGAAATTCTGACATCTGGCCTATCGAGCCACTCTACAATATTCTTAACTTAGTGTTCCAGCTGTGAATGGGCCAAGTGTCTTGCGATCCTGTATTATGTGTACTGTGTGTATCACTGATACTTTATTATCATCTGCTCACTCACTGAGACTGAACAGCACAGTGAGGATCACATTGACGCTTGTCTGCTGCTGTATCTCGCTCTTTCTATCTACCAGTGATTCAGATCGGTCCTCTGAGATCCTAGTTAGGCACTGTTTCGGGTCTTAGCGACATTGTAACTTTTTTTTACCCAATAAATCACCTTCGTTCCCCAGCTGAGCGTATTGAAGCGTCTCGAAATGAGTGGGCGAGCAATATGTAATGTATTATTGGAGCGTTGCAAGTGCTCCCATTTTCTATTCAGTTCGTCCAATTAAATTATCAGCGTTAACAGACCTGGCAACTCGAATGTGTTCACATAAACATATGGTCATCTAGAGGTTACGCGGCTTGCGGAATTTTTGGGAGTGAGCACTGAACTGGCATGCACGAAAGCATGGTTGTTATCGGTGTTCAGACTAGTCCACTTCACTAGCTATGACTAACTCACTGAAAAGTATTGAATCCAGTTGCCTGAAAGCGTACCATCATCATCATCATTCTACACATCAGCTAGAGGTGGGAAAAACACCTCCGCTATTGTGCCGCAATACATGAAGGAAATACATACATACATACAATACAGTACAAAAAGGAGAAGTAGATACAACAATTGCATGCCAGCTGAGCTACCAGCAACGGATAGGCATCGTTCCGGTAAGCTTCCAGCTAGCTACTAGGCAAAAAAAATATTATGTTTTACCCTAGGAAATGAGATCGTAGATGGATGGGGAGGCTAAAAGGGATGGGGAGGGACAAAGAAACTCACAGCATGAACGCCACTGAGGTCGGCTCCTTGCCATGTCAGCAAGTGTATCCAGCCAAACGTGTTCACCGTCTTTTGCACCCCAACCAGGCAGCCGTGAAGCTCCAACCGAGGCTAGCTCCGAGGTGAGGGACTTCATTCCTCTCGACCAAGTCACCGCTTGGCCACCTCTCCTCTTCTTCCACCCACATCCCCGGTGAGCAAACAACGCACGTCGAGGGAGTCGGTGGGCTGGCATGCGTAACACGTGGCCGAGCCATCGGCGCATGGTGCGGGAAATAACGGTGCTGAGCGGTTCAGATCCTTTTCCTGGGCCGTAAACAATGCGTCGAACACGCTCGTTACTCACGCGGTGTTCCCACCATATGTGAGTCAAACTGCGAAGGCACCGATGGTCGAACGTAACTAGCCTCTTCATGTCCGCCGATCTTATGGGCCAGGTTTCGCAACCGTACAGTAAGGTCGAACGTACCGCTGCATTGTACACTCTACCCTTCAGGGCGAGAGTGATGTCGCGCCGCCGCCGAAGGTGGCGAAGGTTAGCAAAAGCACTTCGAGCTTTCGCTATACGGTTCGTGATCTCGTCTTCGATCCCAAGGGCGCTGATACAACTTCCCAAGTAATTGAATTTCTGAACGACTTCTAGCTTATCCCCACCAAGGGTCAGCGCAGGAGGCGATCCCTGCCAATCTTGGAGGAACGCTTTGCACTTCGATGGTGCAAAGCAAAGCCCGAAGCGGCTGACAGCCAGTGCTAATCTGTCTAGCGCGGCTTGGCACGTCTGGGAGCTGTCACAGATGAGGGCAATGTCGTCAGCATACTCCAAGTCAAGAAGTCGTTCTCCTGGGAGTAGCTCCACACCTTCCATGTCATGTCCTGTAAATGCAAACTCCATAACTTCGTCAATAGCGAAGTTGAAGAGGAAAGGTGACAGCGGGCATCCTTGTCTCACACCGCTGGAGATATTAAAGGGTGGCGACAGCCTGCTGTAAGCCCTCACTCTGCCCGTGCTACGCGCATATAATGCTTGGATAATATTTACATATTTCTCGGGCACACCTTTCCTGAGTAGACAATTCCAAAGGGCACATCGATCAACCGAATCGAAGACACCTTTGATGTCGAGGAACACGACTAGGGTGGGCCGCCAATATGTATGGCGGTGCTCCAACAACTGACGCAAAGTGAAGATGTGGTCAATGCAGCCACGACCACGACGAAACCCGGCTTGCTCTTCACGAATCTGGCTTTCACGAGCGCCAGTCAGTCTGTGAAGAATTATGGAGGCGAGTAATTTGGAGGCGATGGAGATCAGACTGATTCCTCTATGGTTGCCGCATTCCGAGCGCGAGCCGCCTTTGAAGATGGGAACAATAACGGAGCGGCTCCAGTCGGTTGGGACAGTCTCCTGCTCCCACAGTTTCACTAGTAATTCATGCAAAGCATCCACAAGAGCAGGGCCTCCGAATTTGAAGAGGGCTGGAGGAAGATCATCTGGTCCCTCGGCTTAGTTCAACTTCAACAGTCCGATCTCACGTTCGACTTCTGAGCGAGAGGGTGGATCCAAAGGGACAGCCCATGGAGCAGCGCGATCAGTGACCGGCGAATCGACCAATTCTTGCCGATTAAATTGCTTTTCAAAATGCTCAGCCCAACGCTCCAGACGTTTTGACAAATTGTGGATAGGCTGTCCACTCTCGTCACGTATAGTTTCACTAACACCAGGTCTCCTGCTGCCCGTTTCCCGTATCAGACGGAATAACTTACGATGGTTGCCAAGGGCAGCGGCCACTTCCATCTCTGACGCACGATGAGACCACCAAGATTCGCGGTCTCTCTTCAGGCTAGCACGGAGTTTTGCCCGGAGCTCTTTGCGAGTTTCATTGTGTTCGCTTCCAGCCGGGATATGCCGTCGAGCGTCGATAAGTTCCAGAGACCGAGAAGAGACCCAATGTCCATGTTGGCGATTAGACATGCCACATGAGGATTTGCCTGCTGCTAGTTAGGTCTGGCGAACATGTGACCAGTGACCATCAATTGTTTCCAGTGAGCGAGTACTCAACTCGCATGTCAGCGTACATCGATACGCATTCAGAACAGCTAACTTTGTCAGTTGGCTGGTGTCAATGCGCTCACAGCGTCGTCGTGGGCGTCCTCCAAAGCTCATCCGCATGTCAGCACATACAAGTGCATGATCAGTGTCCACACATGTGCTCCAAATCGAGCGACAATTCTGGATGCAGCCTCTCCAGCGGTAACTAATAGCAATGTGATCGATCTGCGTCCAAGGCTGGTGGGCGCCAAGTCACCCTCCGGCGGGTGCTGTGTCGGAAATTAGTGCTCGCAAGAAATAAGCGAGCATCTTCACACAAATGAAGTAACCGCTCACCGTTATCATTACGGGAGCCTACACCGTGCTGACCGCCCAGATGCATTTCATCAGTGGACAATTTTCCAACTTGTGCGTTCATATCCCCAGCCAGCACAACAGTGTCCATGCTTCTTCTGTGGCGAAGGAGCTGAGTCAGTTGGCGGTAGAAGTCGTTCTTTACCGTATCATCGCTACAGTTTGTGGGCGCGTAGGCAGCGATGATGAATAGACACCTATTAGTCACGCGTGACTTTGAAGCTTTAAACGAGCCAGCCAATCGGACCGCACACATCCGGCTAGTGATTGGAATCCAGTCAACCAGAGCAGCTTCAGCTCGGGGACTCAGGGCAATGCCAACCTTAGCTTGGCCAGTGCTCGAAGCTGCATCGTCACCGAATAGGCGCAATGAGAAAATACTGTTTGCGTCATCTGAAGGGGATCGCAGAGTGAGCACAAAGCTCGAGTCTTGCAGGCGGGTCTCTGATAAGCAGCAGATATCAATCGAGAGGGTCTCCAATGTTCGGGCAAGTGCTGCCTGTTGACCGATCTGTAGTAGTGTGCGTACACTAAGGCATGCCAATCTGAAGGAAAATCGAGGGCTCCAAATGGAAGCCGATGAACTGGAATGGACCGCTTGGTTGGACATGGGCTTGTCGACAGAAGAGGAGTGACGCTTCGCGTTCGCATGTGAGTTGAAACTAGAAGATAAATGCCTAGCAAAGCATGTTGGGGGAGGGCCAAGAATCGGGGGGTTGAAAACTGGGGGGATATAAGTGAAGTTGGAAGGGGACGGTAAGAGTGAAAAAGCGTAAGATGGGGAATAAGAAGACGGGAAGGCTTGAGCTGTAGCATCCAAACCCCTATCCACCCTGCTCGATGCAGCAGATAGGGCACCGTTGATCATCCTCTGCGGTGGCCAGAGCATCAGCAATTTGTTTGAAGTGTGATTCATTGTATTGCGTGGGCAGGATACTGTCAGGTTGCCCAGGTCTAGACAGGAGAACGATTAGGGTTCTCAAACAAAGCCTTTGGTTCAAAAACCTGACCGCAAGGCAGCGGGTTTGGCGTTGGACTACAAGGAGTCCGTTTTAAGGAATAAGATGCCACCCTCATTCCAACCCCAACCTGGAGGACCAGGAGGCTGAGTTTGTCTGACCTCTAACCATTGAC